TACAAAAAAAAAACACACACACACACACACACACACACAAACACAAAAGTAGTAAAATAAACAAATAAGACCCTTCTTGATGGATTTGGAAATGGTCTTAAACAAATTCATGATAAGCACTTTGCTTGCGGGTCCCTTTCTTTTTCCCTTTCAATGGATTGTGGGACCCTTCATCACCAAACGCGCATGCTCTCAATCCATGGAGTTTAGGTTTTTTTTTTTTTCAATAATAATTACAAAAAAAAGGGCCATGCTTTTCAAATCAACCATACTTAACTTCAAAAATCATCATTTCAAGTCAACAATTATAGGCCAACTTTTTTTTTTTTTTTTTTTTTTCTTTTCCCCACCTAAAAGGGCAATGAGAGACTCAATAGAGTTGAAAGGAAGATAAACTTTTGAGCCAAGAAAAGAAATCAAAACCCACCATTTACTTCCATTCAAACACACACTTGATGGTGTTTTTGATGCCCGTTGGCCCCCCAAACAACTCCCGATCGCAACCAATGGGGCCCGGTCCGAACGGGCCGTGTTCAAGAATGAGTGGATAATTCGCTCTCGGTGCGCGTGAGGCCGAGAGCTTCGGCTTCGGTTTTCATTGATTCCAAATAAACGATGGCCTTCTCGATTATGGTGACCGGGTCTTTATTACTTTCCAATCCGGGAACAAGACTTTCAAGAATTTTCAACGTTTCCCGTATCTTCACCTTCTTATCCCTCTTACTCGAATTAAAATCATTCTCGTAATTGCACGAGCTGACGGAACTTTCCAAATTCACTGATGATGATGATAATTTTTTGTACCCACCATCAGGCAACCGTAACCTTTTTGGCGAACAATCGCAACTTGCGACTTCCTCTATGAGCCCGTCAAATAATTTTTCCTTATCATGCCTCCCTTCATTTTGAAGTGAAATGTTCATCGTGCTATTTACTTCATCATTATCTTCTTCTTCTTCTTCTTCTTCTTCATCATCATCATCATCATCATCATCATCATCACTATCAGAGTCTAGAAGTGCATTGATTTCTTCACTATCATCGATCAATTCATCTTCTCCATTATCGTTCAAATAATTCTCATCCCATTTTTCTTCAAATAAAGAATTCGGGTTCGGCAGCTTGTCTGCTCGGGCTGCCACTTTTTCAACTCCGGAGGCAATAGCGACATTTTGTGGGGAATAAAAGGAAGGGCTAAACATATATGTAGTGTGATTCCCCGATCGATCGAAAATAAGGAACTTTTTTTCTCGAAGGGAGTGAGAAGGATCGACTGGCTTCTCTGAAATCCCGAGCCCATGTGGAAGGACATTTTGGGAATTTCTGAAGTCGGAGTTTTCAACAGAGTAGGGAATATTCCAGTGCTGAGGTGGGAAGTTGAAAAACTCACCGGCTTGTAAATAAGAATTAGTCTGTTCTTGAAATGCAATATTCGCATTCGGTGAAGACGATTTGAAATGTGGCAAACCAGAGTTTAGCCCGAGTTGTACACGTGCCATTCGATCAAGAACGGGTAATTTTGGAGCAGATAACTGCCGAAATGTTTGAGAGTCGTTAGCTGTAAACATCCAGCCAAAAAAAGCAATCTGTGATGCAAGATTTAGACAGTCGTGTAAATTAAAGTGGCCAAGATAAGTTTTGAATAAGGAACGTGAAAAGTAATGTTGGATAAAAGATTACTCACTTACCCGATTATAACGATCTTAGTTAGTCTGCCGATAGGATTGCTTTTTACTGATAACCGAAACAAAACAAGAAGCAAAAGAATGGAAAAACACAAAATATGTAGGCTAGCTTGAAGTGAGAAAAAGGAAACTCGGAGCAAATAAATTCTACGTGACGGGTTTCAGCAAGTGGCGGAAATATTCAGCCTGAAATACATAATGAAAAGAAAAGGCATAATCAGCAGCCATTTTTCAAGTTACCGTAAAAAATAACTGATAATGCGAAAAATACGGTGAACAAACCTGGCAATTCTGTAGAGGTTGAAAGCATGCTATAACTCTAACAATAATGGTTGTTCTTCCAGCAATCCCGTTCTCATGTTTAAGTGCCCTAAACCTCGTCTGGCTCGCTGCTTGGCACACCATAACTACTACTCTCGACTTATTAGACGACTTTTAGAATGAAAACTAAGCGTTTGGTTGGATCGAGAAAACTAATTAGACAAGAAATGAAAGCTAGCGAAGATCGAGAAGGTGGAAGACTAAACCTAGAATATCGATCTATAGAATATAAAAGAAACAGACACATGAGGGGAAGTGATTGGATCCCATGGATTTCGACTGAAAAAAGATTGCAAAAAAACGAAGGATGGAGAGTTCAATGTGGAGGATGAGAATTTATAGAATAACTCTGCAGTACAAATTCAAGGGGATAACACAACGGAACACATCAATCGACAAGCTCAGCCACCGCATAGTGGTCAATTATACGTTCCAGCTTATCTTTTTTTGTTTAGTCTGTGAAAAAAATGTTACACTCTGGCCAAAATCACCTGAAAAACAGCAGCAAAAGTGGTGTTCATGAGCTGTTCGTTTACAGTGTGCATTAGTTAGCATTTGGAACACAAAACTACATAAACAAATCCATAGTGAGAGAAAATCACATAAATCTGTCTAAGAACAATCTATTTCAAAATAATGGGACCAAGAAAAGGTAATAGGAATCCGAAAGTCACCATTTTATGCACACACACACACACACACATATCAGTGGTTATAACTCTCACATAATTGAGAGAAGACAATCTCATACAACTCTTCAGCAAAAAAACCATAGACATTCCACAAATCATAAGACCAGTGAAGATTTCAAGAGTTTATTCATATACAGAGAAACAACACAATTGCTAGCAAACTAAGTATCCTTACACACGCTTTAGTGCCTTTACTTCATGGGGGCTCAATTAAACATCTTAATTACTTCAACTATGAACATATCCAAGAAAACCCATAAAAAAAGATAGTCCCTTTTTTCCCTCTTAATCTTCAATTACAGGGTTATCCAAGAACCCACCAAGAAAATCAAATCAAGAAAGAAAGATAAACTGTTCGTATGTGAGAAAGAGAGAGAGAGAGAGAGAGAAAGAGAGAGAGAGAGAGAGAGATTGTGTACAGAAGACGTGAAGCAGATAAGCCCATATCAAGAGAGAATTTATGAGAAAAACTCACAGATGAAGGTGCAAGAATGTCGAAAGCTTGAATCTTTACTGCGCGCAGTACTAGTTTTTTGTGTGGTGAAGAAGATAGGTATGGGAAGAGAAGAAAGAGAAAGGTGAAAAATTCTGAAAGCACTCAAAGCAGGCACTAAACAATGGTGGTGTGCGCCCTGATTATATAACGATTTGTATGACCATTCTACCCTTTTCGTCCTTTTTGTTTATTTGTTATTTTTTTACACTATCCTTTTTTTTTTTTTTGTATATATTTGTAAATTGATGTGGTTGAAAGGAGAACCAAACTCTAATAATATTTAATTTTTGTTTAATATGATTTTTCAATTATATTAGATGTTATTTTTAATTAAAATAATTTTTTTTTTTAAAACCAACATGCCATATATATAATAACATATATCAAAATAATATGGTTGATTATTGAACTTTATATTTTTTTATATATTCATTTTTGGGTCTTAGTTGTTTTATCTATTTGTTGGTAACCAACCTGATAATCCTTAAATATGAAGGCAAAGCCACATGTGATTAATCGTACCTGCTTAACTCATTGCACCTCGGTTTGAAGAAGAACCTAAGACCGGCTCAATTCTACAACAACCGGCTTGCATGATTACAACAGACGTCATCCTTATGCCGCCGACCAGCCGACCACGACCGAGGTCGCCAAAACCGAAGCAGGTGACGAGGTTCATACGCTACATCCTCTTGTACCACATGTTGCGTTATCATTCTAGTGGGCCCAACGTCATAACCGCCCCTCTAAAGATACTTTGCAATAAATGATGCCGTACACACCTCGAAATACGGGCTCAAAAATAATGCTATAAATAGTAGATTCCTTCTTTTGTACAAGGATCGAATTTCAGACATTCCATATATAAAAATACAAAAATAATTCCACCTCAGTTCACAAAAAACCGAGGTCACCATTGTGTTCCGTTGAATGTTTTACATTAATTTTCCCATAATCACCATTTTAGAATCGACAATTACGTTGTTATAAATTGCATAACAACACTATTATTATCTATATGATTTTATTCTTGCAAGATTCAAATTGGAATACAATTAAAAAACTCAAAATTCATGTTTAATAATATAAATATATATAATCCCCCTATATAATAAATCAGAACGTGCTGAGCCTAAGTGACAGGCTCGCATGTTTCGGGATCCTGTGTGGCAAAATTACATACTTTGTTATTAGGCTTAGGTAGGTTTTAATTTACTTATAATCCAAAGATAATTAGGTCCGAATTATCCATAAATATTTTAATTATTTATGGTCATGTTACCTGTATTAATTGCATTTTCATATCATTTCTTATTATAACTATTGAAATGTAAATGTATTTTAAAAGTTATTAACTTTTTTATTTCTTTTATCATTTTTACATATATAATATATCAATTAATCATCTTTTGATGAGTCCATATTGTATGTATAAGAAAATAAATTATATTTATCTTTATAACAATAATAAAATTACTTTTAATATTAATTAGAAAAATAAAATTATTAATCAATTAATATTTTTATATTTCAAGTAGTTAGATGACATAAGTTATAAAAATTACTAATATAACACATGTAAGTCGCACAAGTAACAAGTGTATTATTCTAAAATATATAATAATATATATTTTTTTGTAAAAATATAGATAAAATTTAAATAATTTTTTCTCATTAATTTTAAAATTTAATAATAATGTTTTAACAAGCATCCGTGTAAAACACGAGCGTTGTACTAGTTTTATATAAAATATAAGTATACTATTGTGCATGTGGCCTTAAAATTTGAAAATATATGTACTCTTTTACTCATTCTATGTCCCATAAATTCAAATTGAAACATACGAAGTTCCACCAAAAAATTCAAAACGATTTTGCACGCTTACAATTTACTCAGTCCATATAGCATTATTAATTTGATTATAAGCTAGATTTCCATTTTACAACTCATAGATTTGCTTAATAATTAATCTGATTAATTAAGAAGTCATTAAGGAAATAAAAAACACGTAATCGTGTTTAACTCTCACTAAATTATTAGAACTAATGGTTTCTTTGTAGACAAGCATGCAATTGACTGATAATTTGTTTTGTTTAATTTAGACTAATGATGATTAAATTAGAGGAAAATCCCAAAGTAAACAACCATTAATTCTAATTAGTACGTGAGTGCAAAAGTTAAAAATCTTGTCCTTTTGAAATCCTCTATCCTCTATATATATTAATTCAAAACGTGTTGAACCTATTTGGCAAATTCTCACGCTTCGGATGCTGACATGGCGAAAATCTATGCTTCGTGATGTTGTTTTTATATTATTTTTCCTCTGGAGTTAGGTTTAATATTAGACATAAATAACTTTACACATATATTTATTAATTCAACAGCCATATTGTACATGGTGTTAATACTAGTTGTATTTTATTGCAAAAATTATTGCAAATATATAGAATAAAGACAACATGCCGACAGCAAAAAAAACTACAAAAAAGTTGCATAATAAGTCAAAAAGCCACTACATATATTTATTTCGGGAATAAAAAAGAAATAGATAATTTAAAAAAAAAAAAAGCAAAGAACAATACCATTGACATTATAGTGCTTTCTTTAAAAAAAAAATAAAATAAAATATGTCTATCTTGTGCTCATTTTTTCTTAAACAAATTAAAAATAATATTCATTTGGTGGCTTGTTGTTTATCACAATTCAAAATAAATCAATAAATGGGCCACACAAATAAATGATGCCAATAAGGGTGAGGACACAGCAACACACACATCAAAAAAATAAGAAAATCAAAATTGTGAATATTAGAATATTCACTTGTGAGTTGTCTCACGTCATTTATATACGAAAAATAAATCTAATTTATAAATTTAATGAGTTACTTTTTTTTTCACTAATTGGTTTTGGGATGGAACCACACTTGAGCTTCATCTGGGCTTTCCCAATGTCTTGGTGCGCTTTATCTATGTGGGACCACACACGTTTTCCCCTAATTGGTATGAAAGTCGTTTCTATTGGGATCGTGCGACAATATCTAGCCTGTTTTTAGTAGGGATTGGATACCCGACTCCGTATATGGGTTTGAGCTTCTTATGAAGGACTCAAAAGTGCATATTTTAATCACTTGTGAGTTGTATCACATCGTTTATATAGGTTGTTATATAAGTAAATAAATTATCATCTAACTAGGTTATTATATGAAAAGGTCTACAAAGCACAACACATAGATATATCTCATAAAAATAAAATGGAGTGTGGTTTGCTCATGAACCTTGATATATATTAATGATTAACTGAATAATTAGTCCAACTTATTAAATTTCAGTCTATGAATATTATGCATAACACATGACTATTTGTACAATTTAAAAAGCAATTAGCTCACGCGAATAAAGAAAAAAATAATTATAACACGAATTAGTCTGTAATTAAGATTTGCTACCTTTAAGAAATAATCAAATAAAGATGTCTTAATAAATCGGTCTAATTAATTATAAGAACTGAGATTAAGAGATCATATATATACCAACTCAACACTTTGAGCTACGAATTAATTAGCTAATAAGCTGCAGCCACTTAGAAAGGACATTCACAATTGCGAATACTAACATTATATTTGGCAGACAAATAAGATAGCTTATAGTTTATTTAGTTAGCTTTTAAACTTCATCAAATAAACCTCGTTTGGTACGAAAAAAGCTCGAACTTATCTCATAAGCTTATTTGGGTAGTTTTTCAATCGAGTTCCTTGAAAATTTTTATTCAACTAGCTTATCAACTATATTTACCAAATACTTTTATCATATAAACTAGCTTTTCAACTATAAATCATAAGCTATAAGTTATAAGTTTGAAAATTACTGAAAAGCTGTCAGCTAGCTTATCGGCTAAATTATCAAACTCGTTTTATCAAACATAACCATATTCTTTATTTGATAGAAATTTTGTTAAAGTCCATTTTTTTAGCTTTGTGTAGTGGCGGTGGTTTTGATAATATTACTTTTTTTGTGAGTAGGTCTTTCGGTTGGTATACAACTTTACTCCATCTTTTGAGTTTTATATATTAATTTGTTTGAAGAAAAAAATATTTTATATCAAAATAATAACTAATTACATTTCTTTCATAAGAGAAAATGAAACTAAGTCCAATTGCATACTTCGATTTAGTTCGGTATGGTCAATTTTAAAAATAGTTGTATATGATTTGTTGTTAGTGAGAGTTTAAGTTTACATTAAAATAGTATTTAATATAAAATAATTAAAGTTGATCTGATATAAAAGTATGAGAAGGATAATGTGAAGTGACGATTAGTTAAAATTATATGAGTTGATGAATAGTGAATTAAAACTGATGTAATACGAATAATAATAATTGAGTGGAATTATACAACTAGTACAACACCCGTGTATTACACGGGTGCTTGTTAAAACATTATTCCTAAATTTTAAAATTAATGAGAAAACTATATTAAATTTAGTTTACTTTTTTTACAAAAAAAATATATTACTATATATTTTAGAATGATATATGTTACTTATGACTTATATGTGTTATATTATATTAGTTTTTATAACTTATATCATATAACTACTTGAAATATAAATATAAATATATTAGTTGATAAATAATTTTATTTTTCTAATTGATATTAAAAGTAATTTTATTATTGTTATTAAGATAAATATAAATTATTTTTTTTATACATACAATATGGATGTTAAATCGAAGCTCATCAAAAGAAGATTAATTTGATATATTACATATGTAAAACTGATAAAAAATACAAAAGTTATTAACTTTTAAAATATATATACAATTCAATAGTTATAATAAGGAATGATATTAAAATACAATTAATACATGTAACATAACCATATATAATCAACATATTTATGGTAATCCGAACCTAATTATTTTTGATTTGGAATTAAATTAAAATTTACCTAAGCCTAATAACGAAGCATGTAATTTTGCCACATAAGATTTCGAAGCACTAGAAGCAGCCACGTAGGCTCGGCGCGTTCTGTATTAATAAATACGAATAATAATAATTGAGTGGTATTATACAATTCTATTGATAATATTGGAGAATAGTGTTTTAAAATTGAACTAGATTTAGTTAAAAAAAAAAAGTTATTAGTTAAAAATGATCGTTTATTGGATTATTATAAATGGAATCGGCTAACCATTATAATCTACTACATATATACTTGTGCATTTAAAATGTAAATTAATAATATGAGATAAAATATTATTTAGTATTATTTGTGTCTATCTAATTTCTTTTTTTTCTTTTTTTACTTTGTCATTGTAATATTCTTTAATGTTACATATATTTGATGTTTGAAAGGATTGCTTACATTCATTAAGAAAATTTAAACTTAAATTATTTAAACTTAAATTATTTAAACTTGTGTACACTCAATCGATTGGTGAATAAAAGAAAATTTAAAATTCACATTTAATTAGTAGAGTATAAATACAAGTCTAAAGTTCAAATATTTAATGAAATGTAAATTGTGGCAGAGTGTATTTGGCAAGCAAGCTAGTTTGTAGTTTATTTAGTCAACTGATAAGCTCTATTTATGCAAATAAACTTGATTTGGTAGTACAAACTTTTTAGAGAGTTCGACTTTTATCACAAACTTCATTGGACAATTTTTCAAATAAGCCCGTAGAATTTTTTATTTCATCTGATTTATCAACTAATTTTACCCAACACTTTTATCAATTACTTAGTTTTTCAGCCAGCCATAAGATATTAACTATAAATTCGAAATTCACTTATATAAACTATCACTCAACTGATCAGCTAGATTTACCAAACATCACGTCAATCTATGAACATTAATTTGAAATCCAAACATTTTACAGCAAGGATATTTACCGAACTCATAGGAAACATTAGAGGTGGAGGTACAATAGAATAGAGTAGGCTCATTCCTCAACTCGTGCCGCAATGTATGGTTCATCATTACCAAGATTCATGGCTTTCAATTTTTACACATCTAATCATAAGTTTAAGACATTTAATCCACTTAATTATTATCATAAACCATCCACATAAGATAACACAAATTTTCGTGTGATTCCGACAAGCGCGAAAGTGCATTTTATCATAACAACTGTCGTACTTTTAATTATGTTAGTTTTTTCAAAATATGACATTTCAATTTGAAAGTATACATAAATGCCGAAAAAACACGTGTAACCATTATAAACCTACCTAACATCCGCGCGAAAAACGAAAGAGTGGATCTCAACAGTCCGATATATTCTTTGAATTTTCATAAGTTTGCCAATTTTTCTTCTTTTTCATCCCTTCTTTGGATATAGTTCATCAACTTGATTGATAAGATTAGACAAGAAACCAGTTGAAAGTCATCCAACAAACACAGTTCACACAAAGTTGAAATCCTCCACACGCTCAAGTACACAACAGAAGTGCAGCACTTAAATCCAAAAGCTGCCCAATTATTTTCTAGCACTGAGTACAAAGTTAGACAACCTGGTTAATTACTCAGCACTCAGAACTTCAATCTCGAAAACAAGAACCGAGTTCGGCTGAATACCCCAAGCTGCAAAACCGCTCGGGCCATAGCCATAATCCGGAGAGCACTGCACATAATTCAAGATCCAAGTCCACAAAACCTTCCCGTGCACATTCAAGTCACATAACTCCCTCACGTAGAAAACTTACATGTATTGAGTATCTGTAAATAGAATCTCAATGTACACTTTGAGTTAAGTATTTAAATAAAGCTCTGCTTATTTAGCCATAGGCAAACATAGTGTGGAGAAAATCACTCCTCCAACCTATAGTCAGATTCCATCTCTACAATAGAGAAGAGGAGTGAATAGTGTAACCCATCGCCAAATTCCATTTCTACTATAGAGGAGTGATCACTTCTAGTTACATTTTTTTTTCTTTTGCAATTTAATGCATTATTTTTTTTAAAAAAAAATTTTGTATAACGTATATTAGTACCTGTGTAGTTTAATGCATTTTTTGGTATATTTTTGTATAATGCATATGAGTAAATGTTTTATTACGTTAAATAATTTTGTGCTTTTTATTTATTAATGTGTTAGAATTTTATTTAATATTAAAATAGTACCATTTGAATAAAAATTTACCATTATTTTTATTTTCAAAATAATACACATCTTCATTTAACAAATTTATTTATAATATAAAAATATGTGGTAAATTACTGGACGGACAAGAAATAAAAAATTAGTTTCAACGGCTTACATTATAAACTGAAATTTCTCTAAGTCTTAGTTAATATTTTAGTAAATCCGTAATAATTTAGTAAATACTTGATACACGTTTTAGTAAATAATATAATCTTTATTATAATTTATATCATATAAATATTGTTGTACTACTTATATATAATATTATAAAAGTATGTGGTAAATTATTGGACGAACAAGAATTAAAAAATTAGTTTCAACGACTTACATTATAAACTGAAATTTCTCTAAGTCTTAGTTAATATTTTAGTATATCCGTAATAATTTATTAAATACTCGATACACGTTTTAGTAAATAATATAACCTTTATTATAATTTATATTATATAAATATTGTTGTACTACACATATATTTATATTTTATTACTTATATAATAATAGTAATAATTTAAATAATTAAATATTTTTAAAACAATATATCTAATTAAATTACATTTGTGAAATTAAAATCATTTAAAATAAGAAGAATAAAAAAAAATATTTTGTGCAACAACTAGCGCGAATGATTGGAGACGAAACTCGAATTTTGTTTCACTCTAGGCTAGAGTAGAGATAAGGTAAACTCTGCACTAGAGTAAAAATAAGGGCTAGAGATGACTTTATGTGAGTATGGCTCAATGCCAATAAGAGCATGCAACAGTCAGTAGTAGAATCAAGATAAAAAAACATGAAAGCTAATCACGATATGATGAGAGAAATGAGATTATCTGGGAGAGTAAGTTTATTCATTTGTCATTTACTATTGAAGCATTAAGATATTCCTGCAAAATAAATATAAGAATAAACCGATGTTTGCATATAGTTACCCGCAAACGAGCAACTTCTCCCACTTGCATCCCTAATACCCCCTCATCCCAGCCTGCAACATCGAACATATGTTTAGGAACCAATTATTTCTGCATAAAGCAACATCAAATATACGACGACTTATGATGGCAACACAATCTACTGTCCTAAACGTGCTAGTATCTCAAGAATCTCGAGAAATTAGATACAACGTCGAGTTCAGAAAAGGCCTCACCAAACCACTTCAAAAACCCAAACGGACTAACATTTTTTTGGCGTGTCTTATTATGATCAGAAGTTGAAATTGACCTCAGACTTCCAACAAAAGTTAAGAATGCCCGTTTGTGGATACCCTTGAACAGAACAAGAAAGATCAAAGCATAGCTCAATCAGATGCATAATCCAAACCCCAGTCGAGTCATAGTGTAAAACCAACCGATATAGCGTCTTAGCTCACAAGAATTAGGAATTGGTTGACCCAATCAAGACTCGATTTTTCGATGAATTTTCTGTGGTGTCATTTATTGTTTTCTATTTCCTAAATTTTCATCCTCACAGAAGCCCCCATATTTTAAAAAATTTCCTCACCTCAAATCCTGGCTAAACCCAAGTTTCAAATACACACATTCAGCAAACCCAGAAAACCCCAATTTCCATCACAAGCACACAACTTCCCAATCGTTTCGCGGCTCACATAATGACCTACTCAATATCAGATTATATTTATTTAACAAAACGGTACAAGAAAAATTAGTGAAAATAAATACCTTTGATAACTTTGCCTTGGCCGATTTGGAAAGTGAAAGGTTTTTGTCCTGGATCCTTAGTGCTGTTTGTTACCCAAATACAACATTCGAACATCGAATCAGACATTAGAAATAAAAACAAAATGGAAAAAAAAGGGGGGAAAATATTAAAAACTTCACCTCCAGAACTTTTTAGCTAGATCACCATTTTTACCGAATCCGGTGCAGTGAACGGTGACGTTTTGACCGGGGACGGGCTTCGGGCCGGTGCCGGCTCTCAGCAGCTCCTTCTCCACGCCCATTGCTCTGATTGGGCGCGCTAGCATGTACTCACCAGCACTGTCACTTTATCTTTCCCGGCTATATCGCCGGCTGCGTTTTCTACAGGGTATGTATTCTCTGAGCCCTTGTTTGCTTTTGGGGATGGGATTGGACTAATTTAGTCCAATTGGAAAGGA